AAACAATTAATTGTTATCTTTAAAATTATATAGCCAATGCATGAAGGAGCTGCTGACCAGAGGGATGAATAGTTAGTTAGAAAAAAAAAAAGACTAGACAAGACTGGTTTGGAGTGTGGCATAGATCAGTTACTTCTAGGTAACGTACCTATTTATAGTATACCAACATGTATTTCACACACAAAAAACAAAGGTGGAATGTAGACCTACTTAAATAATAAACTCAAAGAAAACATTTTTTCCCGCCTCATTTTAATAATGCGTGCTATAAAGGGTTAATACAGCAATATCTACGTTTTTCTGTTACGTCGCAACGTAGTACGCCTATCTTAGAATGCGATATCCGAGGATTGAATTAGCAAATTTTAGTCAATTTGTGGGATATATTGTTACTTGCGAAGCTGATTAAAAAAAAAAGGTCAGAATAACTTTTCAAGTTTAGCTTCAGTTGAATAAGTATATTTTTTAGAATATGAATCAAGGGCAGAACATGGGGTCATTGTTTCAAGTAATTTAAGTTAACATGGTGTATAATGAGATAGATAAAACATACATACATACATATATATATATAGGATAAGACGTACACATAAGACATAATTCAAGAAACCCGATCGCTTTCGACTGGTATACCTAAACCCTTCTTTTCTCAGAGATAAACTAACACTCTAATTATCAGGGTTCTCGAATTTTGATATATATATTTTAATTAATTCTTTATAGAACTGTAACGGATCGCGAGGTTCATTTTGAACTGAATCAGTAAAAAGTCTTAACGCATGGTTTTAACGCTGTCTTTTGAACAAATTTCAATCTCCGTGGTTTTGGGTTTTTTTTTTTTGCGCGCGAATATGATTATACCCTTAATCTAACACACCTCAAACACCATTTTAAAAGGTGATATCAACCTTTACATACCAATCCCTAAGCCTTTATGCCCCACCCTACCACTCCTACGTCTCGTGCATTTATTGGGTGCACTTAGTTGTGGATGAATGACCGACATCAAATAGTCAGTTCCTTCAGAAAATCAGTTACTTTTGATAGATGGCAATAAATTGTAATTTTAATTACAGTATAGGTCATCTAAACGTTAAGAATGTTTATTTAACACAAAAACACACACATTTTTCAAGTACTTATGATACAAGGGTAAACACAAACAAAAACCACGCGTTGTGATAAGGGTAAAAGTTTCGAGTCAACTTTTTTGCTTTGTCAACAAATGTGTTCAGCTGTGGAGGAATGGTGGTCTTAACACATTGATATATCCTATATCAAGGGCCAGGATTCGGATAGGAGCCATATCGGTATGTCTATAATTGTTAGGCCCGGCATAGCCAGGTGGTTTGTGCGCTTGCCTCACAATCTGCGGGTCTCGAGTTCCAATGTGGGTCCCACCGCACATGCTCGCCCTTACAGCCGGGGCGGGCGTTATAATGTGATGGTCAATCCACTATTCGTTGGTAAAAGAGTAGCCCAAGAATTTGCGGTGGGTGGTAATGACTACCTGCCTTCCCTCTAGTCTTTCACTGCTAAATGAGGGATGACTAGCGCAGACAGCCCTCAGTGTAGCTTTGCGCAAAATTCAAAACAAGCAAACTGTAAGTGTTATTAATCCCGATGATTATCATTGTTTGTTTGTTATGGATTTTGCGCAAACCTATACGGGGGCTATCTGCGCTAGCCGTCCCGAATTTAGCAGTGTAAGACTAGAAGGAAGGCAGCTAGTCATCACCACCCACCGCCAACTCTTGGGCTACTCTTTTGCCAACGAATAGTAAGATTGACCGTCACATTATAACGCCCCCACGGCTGAAAGGGCGAGTATGTTTGGTGTGACGGAGATTCAAAGTACTGTTATGAAAAGCGCCGCCTGGTGATTAGCTAACATACATACAAAAGAAAAGTTGTGTGTACGAATGTTTCTTCCCCACAGTATTGTGTGCTTTTACCTGAAGGCTTACTTTATCGCATGTGTTAAAAAGTTTATTTTTAAATTTAGTCTTTACCTGTTTGGGGGAACAGCAAGAGGTAGTTCCTACTCGGTGGGCGTTGTTGTCACGTGTGTTTGACACCTGGGTTCAGCGATGAAAATCCCTTTCCGGCATAATAGGCAATGTTATGGGAATGGACCTACAAAGAAAAGAAGTCATATACTAACACCAAATTTCGATAGAACGTCCCTACGATTAGTTGAAATAATTGCCCATTTTGGAGATAAAACGCTTGTAGTTAACACTCGCCATCACTAGAGGTCAGGTCATTCCCTTGGAAGCACTACAAGAAAGTGAGTTAGCATGGTTGTCGGAGTCTCGTGAAGGTGATGTGCTATTAAATTCCAGCTGTTTCAAACTTCTACAAATAGTAACAATAAAAAATGTTTCTCACTGTCTGGTAATTGTTCAAATTTTAATTTCCTAGGGGGGAGGGAGTGTATAGGTTGAGTGCTTGGTTGGTCTATCGGGTTTCTCATATTATGTCTATAAACGTCATACTTGCTCTGCCTGTATTTAAAAACTGCTACTTTTAATAACGAATCGTAGACCTTCAACAGAGATCACTTCACGGGAAGGCGAAACAGATTCATTCATCCGTGGTTTCTATGAAGGTGGAGTTTTGAACAAATTTCCAAAGTAGAGCTGGTTTTCTAGAAAAACTACATCAACACAGAATTCACTTTCCAGGAAAAATAACATCTTCAACACAAAGATCATTATGTAAGAAGGCATTCAACACAAAGTTCGGTTTCTAGATAAAACATCTTCAACACAAAGTTCGGTTTCTAGAGAAAATATTTTCAACACAAACTTCGGTTTCTAGATAAAACATCTTCAACACAAAGTTCGGTTTCTAGAGAAAACATTTTCAACACAAACTTCGGTTTCTAGAGAAAACATTTTCAACACAAACTTCGGTTTCTAGAGAAAACATCTTTAACACAAAGTTCGGTTTCTAGATAAAACATTTTCAGCACAAACTTCGGTTTCTAGATAAAACATCTTCAACACAGCATTGGTTTGAGAGTCAAATATAAGTGACTTTATCAAGGTATAGATGTTGGAGACGATGTATCGAACTTCCGAGTATTCCTCAGTTTTGGAAAATGTTAACAGCAAATTTACCAATACATGGAAAGTATTTCACTAGTCTTTGAAACTTACGACATTTACCCTTAACCCAGTGGTTACAGAAATTCAAATGGTAAAGCTATTTAGTGATATTACAATTCGTTGTTGTTGTCCTTTGAAACTTACGACATTTACCCTTAACCCAGTGGTTACAGAAATTCAAATGGTAAAGCTATTTAGTGATATTACAATTCGTTGTTGTTGTCCTTTGAAACTTACGACATTTACCCTTAACCTAGTGGTTACAGAAATTCAAATGGTAAAGCTATTTAGTGATGTTACAATTCGTTGTTGTTGTCCTTTGAAACTTACGGCATTTAACCTTAACCCAGTGGTTACAGAAATTCAAATGGTAAAGCTATTTAGTGATGTTACAATTCGTTGTTGTTGTCCTTTGAAACTTACAGCATTTAACCTTAACCCAGTGGTTACAGAAATTCAAATTGTAAAGCTATTTAGTGATGTTACAATTCGTTGTTGTTGTCCTTTGAAACTTACGGCATTTAACCTTAACCCAGTGGTTATAGAAATTCAAATGGTAAAGCTATTTAGTGATGTTACAATTCGTTGTTGTTGTCCTTTTAGTGGAAAGCTGCATAATAAGATGTCTGCGCTCTGCCTACTGTGGGAAATCGAACCCAGGATTTCAGCACTATAAGTTCGCAAACTTACGGGTGATCCACCGTGGGTTAAATGATGTTATAATTCTGATAACATGGTATTTTCAGAAAGTGTGGGTTTTCTTATAGAAAAACTACATCGGGCTATCTGCAGTGTCCACCGAAGAGAATCGGACCCCTTATTTTACCATTGTAAATCCGAAGACTTACCTCTGTCCCACCGGACAGAAAAAAATTAAGTGTTTTTATCCAATAAAATTTTTGTTGTTTGTTTTTTGCTGCTTTATTATTAACGGTTTCAGCACATCATCCATGTGCAAAACCGAGAAAAGTTATTTTTCAGGTGTTCACTTGCTGCTTTACAAGTCATTTTGGGGCTACTGACCATTACATAGGTAAGCTTTAGGTACCGAAAAATGTGTATGTTATGGGGGATATCATGAGATACTCCGTTGCAATTTCATAAGTCTCATTATACAAGTAAGCGTTAGGAATGGCGTTGTTAAAATAAAAGTTCTTAATTTTCTCAATCATTTTGATAGCCTTGATCCTATAGCTTTAAGAAACATATAACAATTTGCAACGTTATAGACAAACTAAAATAAAGATTTGGGTAATAGCTGCGAGAGATGTGCAACGATTCAAATAGGTAACAGCAAAAAAGACTGGGGCAACGTTGTAAACAAACTAATTTGCTTTGCGTTTGTTTGTTGTTAAGCACAAAGCTACACAATGGTTATCTGTATTTTACCCACTACTAGTATCGAAACCCGATTTTTAGCATTTCAAGTCTACTGACAAATAACGATAAAGATTTGCACAATAGAAGCAAGAAATATGCAACGTTAGCCTATTTTCGAATCTCCCATAGAAAAGAAAAAGAATCCGTTAAAAATCCTGTCGACTCTCAGTTTGTTCAAAGCTTTAAGAATTAACTAAGCGTGAATTCCATTGTTCATCTTCCAGTAGTTTATTTCAGTCGAGCAAGTCTTCCGTGCCCTACCCTCTTAAACCTGTTTGCACTCTACTCTCTAAATGGCCTAACATTGCAATGCAGGTGCTGCCCTCTTTAATAACAAAGTAAACAAGCTGCCCCGTTATGAATCATCATCTTAACGGGAAAATCCTGTTTTCCTGTAATAATTGTCACCCATTCCTATTCTATCAGGAAATTACCAGTTTTCTCGAAGTTTTAGATTACGAAAAACTATAGTAAGTTTCTCTCAGGCGAATCCTTTAGTTGCCATTTGAATCCACCCGTTAAACAAAAGGTTAAACGAAGTGTGGGAATGAAAGATCAAAGAAGAAGACTGAGATAGTGGTGAGATAACAGCTAAACAAACTCAACAACGAGTTACAGAAAAATGTTTTTGTTGTAATCTAAATTATATAGATGCCTTGTGGCAATACAATTTATCGAATCATTATTGTTCTATGGAAGGAAGTGGGCGGGGTTCCACTACGAACAATCCGTTATGGTTAACTTAACAACTCTTTTCTTGTTTTTTCACGGACTTTTAAATGCTTGTTTGCAACGCTCTGGTGAGATATTTCAAACGCCAATGCCGTCATCGTATTTTCTGTCTCATTAACGTCTTCATTGTTTAGGAAATGTAGAATACGGCCTTAAAATTCAGCATGTTTTAAGTTTTCAAAGTAAGCTTCAATGTGGCATTGAGTTTTGGATATTTGCTCAGAACTACAGAAGAGTTATTGGCGCTAGACGTCACTAATTTTGAACTGACAGACTTGAAGGAAGGTAGCTAGTTAATAGCACTCTATAAGCGTGATTTTGCGGCAGCGGGACGCAAACTGTAACTCTCGGTTTCAGAATTTTATACGCTAACCATTAGGCCACACCCAGTCCATATAATACTGAGTTATTGGAGAAGAGCGATTAGTTTTGTTTGTGTGTTTGTTTTGGTTGCTTTAAGCACAATTTTTAGTGTTATAAGACCTCAGAATTACCGCTGAACCAACAGTGAACCAGCTATTAATGTATGTGTGATGTAAACCTAATAAATTAAGTTCATGACAGACAAATGAATGAAAAATTCCATTTCTCTGGACTACTTGAAAACTGATGTTTATCACGTGCCCCCCCGATGGCTCAGCGGTAAGCTTCAGGTCTTCTAACGCTACAATTCGGAGTTACATCCCCAGTGTATATCATTGCGCTTAAACAAACAAACCAAAATTCCAATATGTGGAATTTTGGTAAATTTTAATTAGTGAGCCTTTGTCAACTTCATGTTTTTGATCTTGTTAATGATACCAGATGACAACGTTCAACTTTATTGCAATAGCTGTTTTGAGAAGGAGGTTCCTCTGTCGTAGCCATACCATATCCTTCACTTTACGGATGAAGGCGCTGCTCCTGTTTGTCTCTATACACTGCTCCTGACTGGCTCAAGTTTTGTCTCTATACACTGCTCCTGACTGGCCCGAGTTTTGTCTATATACGCTGCTCCTGAATAGCCCGAGTTTTGTCTCTATACACTGCTCCTGACTGGCTCAAGTTTTGTCTCTATAAACTGCCCCTGACTGGCCCGAGTTTTGTCTCTATACACTGCTCCTGACTGGCCCGAGTTTTGTCTACCAGTCAGGAGCAGTGTATAGAGACAAAACTCGGGCCAGTCAGGAGCAGTGTATATTCCGAGTTTTGTCTCTATACACTGCTCCTGAATAGCCCGAGTTTTGTCTCTATACACTGCTCCTGACTGGCCCGAATTTTGTCTGTATACACTGCTCCTGACTGGTCCGAGTTTTGTCTCTATACACTGCTCCTCACTGGTCCGAGTTTTGTCTCTATACACTGCTCCTGAATAGCCCGAGTTTTGTCTCTATACACTGCTCCTGACTGGCCCGAGTTTTGTCTCTATACACTGCTCCTGACTGGCCCGAGTTTTGTCTCTATACACTGCTCCTGACTGGCCCGAGTTTT